GACGGTGTGGATTTTGAAGTACAAACCGATCATAAACCATTGAAATGGCTGAACAAAAAAGCACAAGGCAATGATAAATGTGAACGATGGCGACTGAAATTTCAACAATATCGTATGACAATTACACATATTATAGGGCATGACAACACCATGTCAGACTATTTATGTCGATCGCCCGTGGATGATCCTACAGAAGATTTAGATGATTATGTACAACAAATATCACGCGAAACACAAACTGATAATAATGATCAAGTACCAGTAACAAAGCAATCAGTTATTGCAGCAGTTACCACTCGATTACAAGGAAAACAAGGAAAAAGAGATAATGATGATCAGGGGGATGTCTACACGTCGGACAACCCTGTTATGTGTCCAAACAAAGAGACCGTTCAATCAAAGGACAAACCTCGTACGGACGCAAATACACAGGTTTTACCTGAAATTAATCATTACCGTATTATTCCTTTTACGCACGATGATATTAGGCAACAACAACTGTCTGATCCGACTTTACAACAAATCCTGAATAATCTGGAAAAGGAAAAACATAAGAATTACATCATCGAAGATAGCATGCTAATGCGAAGACAACAATTAAAATTGCTACCAGTCGTTCCCAAAGGTAAAATACGAAAAAGTATCATGCAAATATATTACGATACTCCTGTAAATGGTTCACATTTCGGTCGCGATCGTACGTTGAAAACAATAGGGGAACGGTATGATTGGCCCACAATGAATAAGGATATCCGAAATTACGTATGATTATGCTTAAAATGCCGTCAAGATAATCACAGCAGGAGAAAACCGGATGGTCATTTGAAACCAATTCCACCACCAGAAATAGTATTTGAATTATTAAGTCCAACAGCAGCAAAATTTCTTCGTGATGAAATAATATTAAAATATGGTACGTTAAAAGCCATTTTATCTGATAACGGGACTCATTTTACTGCATCCATGATGAATGAATTATTCACACAGTGCGGTATTATTCATCAGTACTCCACACCTTATCATCCACAGACAAATGCATGCACTGAACGTTTCAATGCAACCATGGATGCCAAAATCGCCTCATTATGTAATGAGAAACGTACAGACTGGGATAAACAGCTTCCATTTGTCATTTTTAATTACAATACGTCTGTTCATTCTACAATAAAATTCAAACCGTTCCAAATGATATATGGGCGTGAACCCTACCATCAACACCCACTCGTCTCAATTTAGCAAGATCCGGATCATCTTGACAAATTGAACAATTATATATCCGGTATGGTGGAAGAAGCAAAAAAGAATATTGTTGAACAGCAACAAAATTCTCAAAATCGGTACAATCAGAATCGTTCAAATCCGCAATATAAAATCGGCGACTTAGTCCTTATTAAAACAACATATGTCCGACACAAGTTTGATATACGCAACGAAGGTCCGTTTAGAATCACACAAAAATTAGCACAAAAAACTTATGTCGTACAACATGTCAAACGACTGGACATAAAACGACAAGTCACAACGGATGTTATTATATCACAATTTGAGCGCCCGAAATTTGATGTTGAAGACTAAAAGATGATCTGCCAAACTGATAAAAAAATGCATTCATGATCATTATTTTATTATCGATTCATCCATATAATTCAGCAATGCTTGTCGGGGTGACAGATGTCCCCTTCACACTGGCAAGAGGGTGTGTTATGTTTATGCTTCCTTAGTATTAATAATGTGAACGAATGACACTATTTTTTCTGGTCAATCACATTAAGATTCAGCTAATTACTGTCTATGTCATCAACGGGAACAAGTTAGCTACTGTTTTGATTATGATAAGCATTATCAATATTAATCCTTTGATTTAATGGTGCACATTCATATCAGGGATATTGATATCAATTAGAATTAGCGATATTTTGGTTAAATTAGTTAATTGAGCTTCGTACTATTAAATAAAATGTGAAGACAACAGTTTTGGTGGATACTATTACTGCTCATCAATTTTCAGAACAGACTACTGTAAACTCAGACCACGAACTCTGAGATGGACATCTTGCGGATGACCGTGCCTTATTTCCTAAGCAGACGACTGAGAAAAAGAGCTGTTTCTATTGCTTTTTCTTGTCGACTCCGTGTCTCCTGTATTTTGTTTTATTTCAGATAGTCTATTTCAGAAAATGTCACACCGTTATGATACTCGTATTTCACGTAAATCACCAGATAAAATATCGCATTCCTATCAACATCGAACTCAGTCTTCATTTCCATCACTAAATACGTTAAATCATCATCGTTCTTATCACCGTTCAAAGCATAATCGTGACAATCTTCATGATCAAGCCCGTTTTTTACCTTTACCTGAAGACAAACCAAAAAATTTAAATACTAAACAAAGCAAGAATTGGGCCCATTCCAGACTCATTTGGCTCGCGTTAGCAACTCATCTTCATCAAGTTCGACATTTGATGATCGCTGACTTGTCCAAATATCATTTTTTGACTGATGAAAATCAATTGGTGTAAAATGATTGAGCCATCCTGCATTGTCAGCCATTTATCTAAGAAAATTTTGTATGGTTTTATTATCATGATTCACTGTCACAGTTGTTGCTAATATGTTTCGGTTTATCGGCTTTTTAAAGGCATTCGTGAGGTGTTATTGACAACTTCATGGTAAACATTATAAGTAAACAGAAAAATAAGTCACACATAGACAGTATTCATCGATTCAAAAATTTTGAATTAAGCGAATCAGAGCATTATATACGAATCTGATCTTCGCGAGGATTTTCTCTAGAGGTTTTCAATATCTTACAGTTGATACAAGATGAATTTTACCGCTGTTTAAACCTTGACGACATCCAATCATTTTGAGAAATTTAAAATGAACTGTGCTGTTTACAGCTGAATTCATGAGAAATGACGCGTTTTTAGCAGCGACTTGTTTCTCAAAGAGAATAGCATTCTAATATACTTCGGTTGCCTACGCGAACCACGTTGTCATGAAGACAACAAATCACGATTCATACAGTTAGACACATCTTATTGGATGCAAATGTTAATGATTGAGACGTTTCTGCGGTTCTCGCAACTACGCTTATATGACTTGTGGTTTTCAATATTGTCAATTACATAAAATGGAAACATACCTGAGTACGAATAATCGACGAAAATAAAAGCAGAATACCACTATACACTTGGTTTTATCGAATATGGTAAATGGTACAGAATATTCAAGACAAACTATAAAATATATATGGAAGTAATTATGCAATAGAGGCACAAGTATTACGAAACATTTCATATTTCTGCACAGGATTGGTTCTTTCAGTTGACGTCAATTGGCATACGACAGAAATGACAGAATATGCCATAAAATGGTTCTTTCATGTTCAGTGCAACTCAAAAGAACATGAATGCGCGCCGAAAGGAGTATAAGGACAAGGAGCATTTTGGATACTGTTTATGTGTTTTTTGTTTTTGTAACAGGTAGTATTTTAGATAGTGGGAAAATGAATGCGAGGAATATGGAGAAGAGAGTATGCGCATGAAAAAATGGGCAGAACAACAAGGCGATCGCGTCTGCGGAATGTGACGGCGCGTATAGTGCACAAACAATGCAGGAAACTGATCATACTCGAATTTTAAATGTATTAATAGGCCGCGTTGTTAATAAAACGAGAAGACGAGCCACATGGGCGATTTTTTCATGGGCCAACGTTGTGTCGCCGGTAGTATTGGTGAGACGACCATTTTGACGATTCATCATGAACAGGCTCTTGCTTCTTCGCTTGTCGTTGATTAGAAGCCATCATAAATGGGACTTGACTAAGTGTTTCATACTTTGATTATTGGATCTATCATTTAGCTAGCCTAGTGCAAATAGAAAGATCGAGCTATGTCAAAAGTTCTTCAACTGTTGAAAGATTCTGCCTCAGTTTCATTGTTTCTCCTATGCGTCGTGACGAGTCAGGCGACAGTTAAAGGTCAAATGATTTTCTATAATAGTGGTGCTGGTTTTCGATGTTCTATGAAATTAGTGTTATTTCCCAGTGTTATTTTGAAAATACATTTTTGTAGAAAATCGGACCGAATTTCTATTTTTAAGTATTATTTGCATGTTTTCTTGGTCATCAAAATCACTTTACGACCCCGAGACATATCATAAAGCATCATAATATGTTTTTAAAAGCAATCAAACAGTCAATAAAATAAACAGCTCAAGATGTAGTCATATATAAACACGTGACAAAATTGAATCTTACATAATTTTGAAGTGCATTTAATTATTTTATTTTTAAAAATTAATCTGACTATCCACTTAATAAGTAAAAGTTGAACACACATTATCTCTGACGATCATGACCTGAAGAGAAAGCTGGAAAGTTATATCTATACTTTTAGTTACTAAACCATTTTCTAATTTTGTAGTTGATAGTTTTGGTTGTATGCATCTACTTCATAATGAAATGAAAGAAGAATTTTTGTAGCATTCTTCTCTCCGTAAAGACGCTGTGAATTCAACGTCCGTTGCAAGGGACATTCGGATGTAACGATATGAAAACTGAACTTTTTTATCTTAGTATCTTGTTAGCGTATGTCACTCTGTGATCACTAGCTACCCGTGTTGACAACATCGCGGTATTTTTAACAATTAATCACGATTCTTGAAAAACCGGCAATTAATTGCGATTAATTGTTGATTTTGAGTGATTAACTGGTAATTGTTATTCACCATTTTATTTTGCAGTAAAGTACGTATATAAGATTTCAACGAGAAATACACTTCCATTGAGATCATCTTTTTATTTTAGAGTAAAACGGAATTGTCAAATCTTCTCTATGCTCCCTTGGGGCTTTAAGTAGAGAAGTCCGGTGAACAGCTGGTATCTGGGCAATGTCTAAAATCGATTCGTCGGAAAGGCTCTAACTATAGCTTGTGCTGAGACCCTTGCTGGGTGACATACATGTCATTATACATAATAAACAATGAAAAATATGATGGATTCGAAATTACTACTAAAGAAAAGCAGTCATCTATTAATCGCGATTAAGTGCACGATTATGATTTTTCACGATTAATTGCCGATTTTTATGCCATTTTTAATACAGGGTACACATCTGCAGATGAGTGAATGAAGAAAAAAGATGTAAGAAGTAGTATAACGCAGCCGTCGACAAATGGTAATGCGTTTAAATACTAAATAAAATTGAGGCACGTTCAAATTATCTTTAGTTTGTCGAATAGTATTGAATGAGCACGTCTAGACGCATTAAAAACATTTCTCATTCTCAAAGAATCGTCTAGATGCAACTATCGGGTGGTCCAGATTAAATTGTCGGTTTTTGATAGGCTTTTTTCTCAAGTTAGACTCCACCAGAAGGTTTGATTCTAATGCTAAAAGACAGAATTTTGTGCAGATTTTAGTTAAATAAACACGTACCGTTCTTGTGTAGCATTAAAAGTATCGGATGCCACAAAAATTCCACTTGCTCAACTACAAAATCGGGAACGTGTAAAAATCAGTTTTGCCCTGCTAGACTGAGTTCAAAAATTCCTTTCTTGTAGTAAGAGATATAGAATTTTTCGGTGTATCTCGTGGTGTGTTGGGTTTTATAATCTTAGTTACTTTTCCTTCGAAAACTACAAAACATCAAAAAGACGTTCACGGGCGACGACATCCCACGTTTCTTTAGCAATTTTATCACAACATAGCATTACACAAATTATCCTTTTGATGTAAAAAGATGTGGAATTTAAAGCTCTACAAAATGCTCTTTTTTAAGGACTGACTTCTTTTCTAACCCAATGACGAAGTTGGAATGTTTCCATTGGTGTGAAAGTGCGCCAAAAATAGATAATTATATATATTTTGCAATGGATTTTTAACATAGTAAAACTTAGTCCAAAAACTTGGTTTTGTGTCTCAAAAATAAATACGTTTCTGTACTTTTTTATAGTGTTTTGAATAGCGTGTAGAAAATTATTTAGCTAATAAAAATGACATTTTATTCCAGTCAAGTGCTAAGCAAATGATGTTTTTGTGACATTCAATACTTTTAATGCTGCAAAAGAATGGTACATGCTTGTCTAAAAAACGAACATATCAATAAAATCTACACAAAAGCCTCTATCTTTTAGCATCAAAACCAAACTTTCTGATCGAGTGTAACTTGAGAAAAAAGTCTATCAAAAACCGACAATTTAATCTGGACCACCCGGTATGTTTGATAAAGAATTATATGTACGTCTGAGCACACTCTTTATTTAATCAGATTCTCTAAACGCGTTTGAACGCGTCTTAGAACCAGGAACCGTTTGCACGCATCCTTCCTGTAATCCAAAGACACGATGCGCCCGAACACATTTTTCTCTCATTGAGATAAAAAACTCGTTTAGAAGCGTTTGTTCTTGATTCGAAAAACGCGTTCGGGCACGACGTTTTTGGAAAAATTAAGGAAAACTGCGTCTGCATGTTTGTTTTTATCAATAATTTTTCTAGTAAGTAAAGAATTAAAAAAGAATTCATATTAATATACTGGAAAAACTGAAGTTCGGAATAACCACGACAAAAAATACAAAAATTCATGCCGTTACATCCGCATGTTCCTTCGAAGGGACAGTATGTCTCCACGCAGCAAAGCAACATCATTTCAGTCCAGACATAACAAGAGTGTACCGAAGAACTGTAAACTCCAATGCAGTAGTTATTTCATCTGCAGTTATAATGAAAGTGTCTTCGGGTGTAAAGGGTTAAATTATTTTGCTATCCATTCAGTACAGTATCAACAATACCTGTTCATAATGCAAAGGAAAAGAATATTCTTCCATGACCTTCAGCCGCACTTGTTCCCACATTACCTGATGAATCACATTGATCAAGCCTTAGACCGATGTTTGATTCAAAGAATGTTCATTCACTTCAAAGTCTATATTGTCCGTGTATAGTGGTTAGTAGCCCCGCCTGTCACGCGGGAAATCGGGGTTCGATTGAACCGACACGAAGTGAACTTTTTACTGTTTTCTTCGCAGACAAAGAAAAAGTCATTCCGCACTGTTGTAAGAAGAATCAAGATGCTGCATAAATAAAACACAATACTTCCACCAAAATTACAGTATCGTGAGAAGACAGGAGATGACGGTACTGACACTATGTCTATTTACAAATGTGCTCCTCCATGGAAACTCAAATATTTGAAAGAAAAAGTTTGAAAAAGTTTGTGCCTTTGCTTGTCTCCCAACCATCACTTTATCCAATACTGCATATTTTGTAAGTAATCTACAAGAACCAATTGTGAATATAATATAATGATCTCATTTTTTATAATCTGTTCTTTACTATTGTCGTACCTGAATTATTCGGACTTTTATTTCTTCTTTTCAAAATTTTAACTGTACCAGTCTTTCGAACAACCACCGCTCATATATCAAAACACGCGCATCGAGACAGAAATGACACTGATGAATTAACATCTATTAACAGCCATTGGAGATAATTTTTCTATTTTTTCTGAAATACATC